TAGTGGACCACAAGTTGAATATGAGTCAACAGTGTGATGCTGTTGCCAAAAAAGCAAATATGATTCTAGGTTGTAACCACAGGTGTGTTGTAAGCAAAACTCGTGAAGCCATTCTGCCGCTCTACTCTGCACTAGTTAGGCCTCAGCTGGAGTACTGTGTCCAGTTCTGGGCGCCACATTTCAAGAAAGATGTGGAGAAATTGGAAAGGGTACAGAGAAGAGCGACAAGAATGATTAAAGGTCTAGAGAACATGACCTATGAAGCCAGGCTTCGTGAACTGGGCTTGTTTAGTTTGGAAAAAAGAAGATTAAGGGGGGACATGATAGCGGTTTTCAAATATCTAAAAGGGTGTCACAAGGAGGAAGGAGGAAATTTGTTCCTCTTGGTTTCTGAGGACAGAACAAGGAGTAATGGGCTTAAAGTGCAGCAAGGGAGGTTTAGATTGGACATTAGGAAAAAAATTCCTAACTGTCAGGGTGGTCAAATATTGGAATAAATTGCCAAGGGAGGTGGTGGAATCTCCCTCTCTGGAGATATTTAAGAACAGGTTAGATAGACATCTGTCAGGGATGGTGTAGGTGGAGCTTGGTCCTGCCTTGAGGGCGGGGGGCTGGACTCGATGACCTCTCAAGGTCCCTTCCAGTCCTATTATTCTATGATTCTATATTGGGATAGAGAGTACGCTTATTAAGTTTGCAGATGATACCAAACTGGGTGGGGTTGCGACTTCTTTGGAGGATAGGGACATAATTCAAAATGACCTTAGCAAGTTAGAGAAATGGTCAGAGGTAAACAGGATGAGGTTTAATAAAGAGAAATGCAAAGTGCTCCACTTAGGAAGGAACAATCAGTTCCATACATACAAGAGGGGAAGCGACTGTCTAGGAAGGAGCCTGGCGGAAAGGGATCTAGGGGTCATAGTGGACCACAAGTTGAATATGAGTCAACAGTGTGATGCTGTTGCCAAAAAAGCAAATATGATTCTAGGTTGTAACCACAGGTGTGTTGTAAGCAAAACTCGTGAAGCCATTCTGCCGCTCTACTCTGCACTAGTTAGGCCTCAGCTGGAGTACTGTGTCCAGTTCTGGGCGCCACATTTCAAGAAAGATGTGGAGAAATTGGAAAGGGTACAGAGAAGAGCGACAAGAATGATTAAAGGTCTAGAGAACATGACCTATGAAGCCAGGCTTCGTGAACTGGGCTTGTTTAGTTTGGAAAAAAGAAGATTAAGGGGGGACATGATAGCGGTTTTCAAATATCTAAAAGGGTGTCACAAGGAGGAAGGAGGAAATTTGTTCCTCTTGGTTTCTGAGGACAGAACAAGGAGTAATGGGCTTAAAGTGCAGCAAGGGAGGTTTAGATTGGACATTAGGAAAAAAATTCCTAACTGTCAGGGTGGTCAAATATTGGAATAAATTGCCAAGGGAGGTGGTGGAATCTCCCTCTCTGGAGATATTTAAGAACAGGTTAGATAGACATCTGTCAGGGATGGTGTAGGTGGAGCTTGGTCCTGCCTTGAGGGCGGGGGGCTGGACTCGATGACCTCTCAAGGTCCCTTCCAGTCCTATGATTCTCTGATATGCTAGTGTCACCTGGAGTACCTGTATAGGATGCAGAGGTTTTACAGTTATCCTGATCAACTAGAATTATATTCAGGGGAAAGTTCTGATAGCTCTGATGAGGAAAATGCTGATTTGGGTACAAGAACCCCAGACCTTACATTGGGAAGTCAAAGCCTGGACACTATAAATTCAGATACAGGTGACTGCAGATCCTGATTCAGGGAGGACAAATCCAGATTCTGTTTCAAATTGCCCCATAATAATAGTTACAGATATTAAGACATTAGATGTGGTAGCTAAGCAAATAGGGATGATGGAGAATTTTTCAGTTGGGGCGCATGTCTGCATTTGCAAGAAACACTAAGGCTACGTCTAGACTGGCATGATTTTCCGCAAATGCTTTTAACGGAAAAGTTTTCCATTAAAAGCATTAGCGGAAAATAGCATCTAGATTGGCACAGACGCTTTTCTGCAAAAGCACTTTTGCGCAAAAGCATCCATGGCCAACCTAGACGCGCTTTTGTGCAAAAAAAGCCCCGATCGCCATTTTCACGATTGGGGCTTTTTTGTGCAAAACAAATCTGAGCTATCTACACTGGCCCTTTTGCGCAAAAGTTTTTTGCGCAAAAGGACTTTTGCCTGAACGGGAGCAGCATAGTATTTCCAGAAAAGCACTGATGATTTTACATGAGATTTCAAGCGGCCAGTGTAGACAGCTGGAAAGTTTTCCCGGAAAAGCGGCTGATTTTCCGGAAAAACTGGCCAGTCTAGACACAACCAAAAGGTGTTTCACTTAAAGGAACATTTGGGTTAAAATGAATCAGGCAGTATTGAGTACCTTACCCCCTTGAACACAGAGTAGAAGACAAATCTTTTAAAGAAACAGTGCCCTATGTATGTGGATAGATATATTTTAGAGAATTTGTACATCTGTCTATCTGTGAGTCCACATGTCTGTTTGCAAGTCCATTTGTTCAAGAATGCATCCTAACCTATAAGAGCTAGGCCTAGGGCCACCAAATTTGGAATGCAGCTTCCTCTTTTCCTGCTTTAAGCAAGGTCAGGATTTAGTTGTGCTAGGAAAATAGGATGTGCCTTGAATGGGATTGTTTTCCATATTATGGAAAGGGAAGGGGCTGATTGGAGGAACAGCTACACTGCCCTGAACATACAACTTTCCCTCCCACACCTTTCACTCACTCTACATCCCCATTCTCTGCCCTGAGCTCCCCACGCATCCAATCCTGTCCTGAGCTCTCTACCCCCTGCCTTGACTCAATGCACCCCCTTGCCCTGTGCCCCATGTCCTGCCATGACTCCAGTACCACCATGCCCTGCTGTAAGCCCCTCCTAGCCCCATCCTGACTCCTGCATCCCCTGCCATGAGCCCCCACCCTCTGCCCTGACACTTCTACTGCCACCCCTGCTCTAAGTTCCCCTACACCTTCCACCCCCTGCTCTGACCTCTGCCCGCCTCACTCACTGCCCTCAGCCACCCATCTCCTGCCCTGATCCTGCACCCTCCAACCCGTCCTGAGCCCCATCATTTAAATAAATGTACATTTTCCTTTTAATTAAAAAAACATTACTACAGTTAAGAACCTGAGCAATGCTGTATACATCTGCCATATAAATAACAAGCCCCAGTATGTTCTCATTTCTTGTTCTTCCTGCAAGATGTTAATCAAGTTAGTTTACCAGAAGTTGTGTGTGTCACACTGTGATTTCACCCTAAGGAAGTCTACAAATTAGTGATAAAAATGGGATTCCTGGATTAGTATTCTCTGTTCATTTTGCTCTAATCAGTGAACACAACACTGTTAAACAACATTAAGTATGTGAACAAATCTTTGTAAAAGAAGGGCCCAATTCAGGCCAACAATTTTAAGCCCTCTTTAAAATTAACCTCAAATGATTTATTCCTGTTAATGAAATTTATTGAGCACAAAATAACAAAGCTGAAAGCAAAGACATTTTAGAGTGCCTCAGTCTGGCACTTCCTACTACTTTAGGAATGAACTGGATTAACAACAAAGGCCAATATTTTAAAAAGAAACTCCATCAGGTCCATTAATTGAATTTTACTTTTTTGTATATTTTCCCCTATATTTATTTGCTATACACTTTTAACTGCATTTTTAGAAGTCTATAGTATGTTTGCATTTGTAATACTCTTCCCGTTTTCACATTTTCAGCATTTTAAGTATTATTCCATTGTATCCATTTTGTATGGATTCTTGTTTTCATTTTTTCAGTATTTATTCCCAGTCCCCATTTTTTTTCCATTTCATAGGTCCCAATCCTGCAAATGCTTTCCCACATCCTTATTGTTACTCTGGAATTAGGGTTGCCAGATGGTTTCAACAAATATATCAGATACACTTGACATTACATCACAATCTACATTACATCTTATTTAGAAAATACTGGACATTTATATTTTCTCATATATATAATTTCTCAATATGTTTCTGGAACAGAAAACTCAAATACTGGACTGTCCAGTTCAAAACTAGACACCTGGCAACCCTATCTGGAATAATCCCACTGGAGTCAATGTACAAACAAATTCACAATTAAAAAAATGCAGATGAAAGTGACAAGTAAAGAAGCATTTTATTAAAAGCAATACAACGGAGAAAAAAGAATTCAGAGATTGCAACTGAAGTTCCTTTTTCAAGCATAAAACACTGCATGCTTTTAAATCCAGTTGCACTGAAGTCACTGAGGGTGGGTTTAAAATAAATTAATTGGAGTAAAGATAAGCACTTGCAGAGCAGCTTGAAGGGTCAGGATCAGCTGTTTTTTATTTACATGGATACAAATTATTTCTTATTTCCATTCTTCCTCACTCGTTTTTTTTTTCCAGACTTTTAAAAAGATTTGACATGATGATGAATAATTCTTCCCCGTCTCATATTACTGACGGATTTTCTTCCCCGCGTTTCCCCACTGTTCTCCCCTCTTTTTTGGCTTGCTTCCCGCTCCCCCTTAGCACTGTTTATTTTATTCTTTGAACGTCTCTTTCTTTTTGCATTTGTCTCAGCATCGCTTTCCTCGTCGCCTCTTTCTTTCAGCCGCTGCTTGAGGGGGGGCGGGGGGACAAGTCCGACCTCTCTGTACGTTGCAGGCTCCACTTTCTTTTTGCATTTTTACCAGGAGCCTCGCTCTCTCCTTCTGCCCTGGCCCCACCAGCCGCCCTTGGACCAACCCCCACGGACACTGCTCCGTTAGCATTTGTCTCAGCATCGCTTTCCTCGTCGCCTCTTTCTTTCAGCCGCTGCTTGAGGGGGGGCGGGGGGACAAGTCCGACCTCTCTGTACGTTGCAGGCTCCACTTTCTTTTTGCATTTTTACCAGGAGCCTCGCTCTCTCCTTCTGCCCTGGCCCCACCAGCCGCCCTTGGACCAACCCCCACGGACACTGCTCCGTTACCCCCAGGGGCGGGCGAAGATGGCGGAGGCAGAGTGAGTCCGGGGCCAGGGCGGGGCCGGGCAGGGGGAGTGGCAAGGGCAGAGCTGGGGAGCGGGATGGGGGCTGTGCCGGTGGGCAGCAGGGGGATGGGACAGAGCCGCCCCCTCCCAGGCTGGTCATGTCTCGCTGCTAAGCCCCCTGCCCGGGAGGGGGTGCCTTCCAGCGCCGCGTTCAGTGGGGCACCCCCCAGCTTTGGGATCCCATGGAGCGAACTCCCCCCGGCAGGAG